AAAGTTTGTAAACTGATGGAAACTGAATAACTCACTACTGAATGAAAAATGGGGAAACCAAATTAAATCCTTTTAAAATTGAATGGAAATAACAATACAGGACACCCACACCTATTGGACACAAGGAAGGCAGTTCTAAGAGGCAGGCAACTTCATAGCGCTAAATGACAACAGTAAAAGCCTGGAGAGATCTCAAAATTGTAACTTAACACAAGTGCTGTTCTATCAGCTCTAGAGAATGGCAAGAAGGAACCGCACTCAACAGAGTAGATGGAAAGAAATAATGAACCTCCAGGATGAAATCAATGGAATAGAAACAAACAAACATATAAACAGAGTTCAAAGAATCAACAAAATGAGTTAGTGTTTTAGAAAATCAACACAATTGACAATCTTTAGCCAAATTAAATAACATACAATGAGAATATCCATATCAGCAAAAGTAAGAGATAAAAGGGGACATTATAGCCAACACTGAGAAAATTCAAAGAATCCTAAGGACATACATCATATGTATTTCATCAAATTGAAAACTTACAGGAAATGGATGAATTTCTTGATGTGTACAACCTATTAAAGTTAAGTCAAGATCAATTTAGACACACCCCTAATCTCTAGAAAAAATAAAAGTTCCGTATCAAAGAAAACAAGAAAACCAGGGTCAGATATTCTACCAGACCTTCAAAAAAGAACGAACAACAACACTCCGTAGATTATTCTATAAATAGTAACTAAAGGAGCATTTTCTGATTCCTTTTCTAAAGCTACTCCTCCCTGATAACAGACACCCAACAAAAATTATAGGCGTATATTACTTATGGAAATAGATACAAAAATTCTCAATAAAATGCTTGCTAGCAGAATCCAACAACATATCAAAAAAGTTTTTCTACCATGATTAAAAAGGTTTCATCCCATAGATGCAGAGATAGTTCAGTATACGTGAATCAATAAACATAATCCACCTATAAACAGACAGAACACAAGAAACACAATCAACACATTATGTGTATAAAGGGTGTTGGACAATGTCCAGCAACACTTCATGATAAAAGTCCTCAGACTATCTCAACATAACAATAGGTCTGGCTGAGAAAGACCGGTGTAGGATCCATTGAAAATCAGAGATCTTCAGAGACCTGTAATGAAGAAAAAAACTGCTGTTTCCACCCGGGGACCTCTCGCGTGTGAGGCGAGCGTGATAACCACTACACTACGGATACACGCCTTGGTGATAGTGCTGTCACTTTACAATCGAAGACAGACATTCCATTCTTGCTAAACGGTCATTTAGTAGTTAAAGATTCACATGAACAGAGAGAACTGCAAAGAATGCAACCAAGCTAAAGATAAAAGGCCTAGTGCAGAGGCGACAGGGCCCAGAGGTGGCTTGAGAGGCACGCCAAGGGGAGAGCGCTCAAGGGAGGGAGAAGGGCGGGAGTAGGAAATCCCGCGTGCGTGGAGACGCAGCGTGCATCGCAGAGGAATCACTGGTATGCAAAACACACGGAGTGAAGGAGCCTGATCATCCCGAGACACGTGGAGGAGAGTGTTGTTGAGGCTGGAGCGCTTTTGAGAGAACCCGGACAGGTGACGAAAAAAGTCCCAGCAACGTGTTAAGGAAAGAGTTTCACCTTTATTTTATTCATTTATTTATTTATTTATTGAGCAGAGCTTAGAAATGGAAAATTGAGAGTAGCAGAGAGGATCCCAGTCAGGCCGAGTTTATCCACGCGACGCTGTCGGTGGCAGTGCAGCGCGTTTGTTGCAGAACTGACCTCCACTAACATGGTTGAGTGAGCAAATTATCGAGGAAAAGAAAGATTCCAGAGAGACCGGCAGAGAATTTATAGGACGGCGTGGTTTAAGGGGAAGTCCTAAAGCTGGTGGCACAGAATTGTTTCTGACTCAATGTGAAGGAACAAATAGAGACGCTTAAAACATTTGTTACAGAACAAGGAGAAACTTCCAAGTGATTAGATTATGTGCTGAAGTTCATACAGGACAGTCTGCTCGATATAGAGGAGTTGAGTGCATTTCCAATGATGCTGTAGTGCCAGATTGTCTGGTAGGAAGGTAACATAATAAGTGGAGGATGTGGGCACGATATCACTTCTTCTTGCATGCTAAGGGAGGTCTCCAGAATTTGAGACAATCCCCCAGTGCCTTTTACTATTCCTTTTTTGTTTTTGTTTTTGTTTTTGACCATTGAATCCAATGATCCTCACAAAGTTACGTGATGTATCTAGGTCCCAGAAAAGCAAGACAGTCAAAAAAAAAAAAAAAAAAAAAAGCAAAGAGCCAAGATTCTTATATCCTAACTGCTACAAAATGTATGGAGTGGACTGAGTTGAGAGTCTGAAAACAAAGGAGAAAGTGGAAAAGAAAAACAAACAAACAAACAAAACCTTGCTTCTGCCGGGTTTCAAACCGAGGACTTCTGGTGCATGTTACGAGAGTGTGATAACCATTTTGTGACAGAAACCCTTATTAGTCCTAGAGTTTCCTAGTTTCAAAACATATTTTAAAAACTTGCTTAGTAAAGGGTTCAATGGTAGTGTTATCATGGGCTACTTAAATCAAAGCTACTAAGATAGCTGACCTTTTCCATCCCCAGACCCTGGTGACTCGACTACTCTGCTGCTGCCAGCATAACACTCAGATTCCACACTTTAAGTGGAGGCCTGTGGAATTTATCCCTCAGTGGCCGGTTAACACCATGTACTAACTTCATTCCAGTAGCAAATGACAGAGCTGCTTTATGAAAGGCTGAGTAGCTTCCGTTCCATGTGTATCTGCTGTATTTTCAGCTGTCCACTGATGGACAGTAGCTTGATTCCCTATCTTGGTTGTTGGGAATAACCCTGCCGAGAATGAGGAACCAGTTTGCAGAAGACAGGGATCATCACCATGGACAGAGCAATTGTGAGTCCATGACTCTATTGCTAAATTTCTCAGGGAATTTGCATGCTGGTGCCTTTAATGGCTGTGATGATTTACATCCATCAAAACTGAGCGAGCATCCTCTTTTCTCCACACCTCCAACACCAGGTCTTTCCTGTTTCTGATAGGATAGGGGTGACATATACTTCGCAGGGCTCTGATACTCCTGAGCTGGGCACATTTTCATAGATCAGTTTGTCATTTGTCTCCTTTGAAAAATGCCTGTTCTTATCCTATGCTCTGTTTTGTCAGACTCTTTGTTTTCTAGCTATGGTGCTGGGTGTGTATTGGGCAGCAAACCCTCATGAGATGTGCGATTGCCCTTGCTTTCTCCCACTGTGTAGGCAGCCTGAAGCTCTGCTGGCTGTTTTCTTCTCTGTGCAGAAGAAGTTTGTTTCAGGGTAGGAAGCTTGTGGCTTCTATCTTTACTTTGGTAGCCTGTGCTTTTAAAATTCCTCCAATATCACAGCCAGACTACTGCCATGGTGCTTTCCCTGATACCTTCCCCTGTTAGTTTTATGGTTTCAAGACTTTATTTATGTATTTGCACCTGGTGTGTGATATGCACTCGATTTCATTCTTCTGCATGCAGATATCCAGTTATCCCAATACTGTGTACTGGAGAGAGCATTCTTTCTCCTTTTGGTTTTGTTTTTCCTTGGAGATGGTTCTACCCTATACCTGAAACTGGCCTAGCACTCACTATATAGGTTAAACTTGTTCAAACCTCCTGTCAGTCTTCTATCCTCAGACTCTCAAGACCTGAGATTTGTAAGTATGAACTAGTCCCTCCCCCAACCAGGTCTTAACAACCTTTTGAAGAATGGACTGACTATACATTCACAGATTTAATTCTGGGTTCTCTATTCACTTCATTGGTCTACATATGTTTTTAATGTCAGTACCATAGTGTTTGGGTCACTAGAACTTTGCAGAATACATTGTTGAGTAAGATAGTACGATGAATCAACTTTTGTTTGTTTTTGTTTTTGCTGAAACTGCTATCATTTTTTCCCACTTTCATAGCATCTTAAATGTTTTATAGCTTTCAGCTTGCTAGATAAATGTATCATTTTTATTTGTAGCCACTGTAATTGGAATTTTTGAAACCCTCTTAGGTATTTTGTTGCTAGTGTTTAGAAATGCTGCTGGTCTTTGTGCTGATGCTAAAGCTTACCTTAATTTCTCTGTTCCACTGTCTTTGGAGTCCTCAGTCCCTGCCTGAGGTTGCCAGTCTGCTATCCAGAATGCATTTGAGCTTTGTAAGGGAACACTTTGCTTGCTATACTCCTTTGTCTCTCTAAATTCTTTTATTGAAGAGACCAAGAAAAGAGGCTGTCCTCCCTCATCAACCCCTCATTCCAGCAGCCAGATCTGCTTTCCCGGAAGTGGCTGAGGCAGGAGAACCTGAAGTTTGAGGTCAGCCAGATTTTCTGAGTGAGACCTTGTCCAAAAATAAAGAAAAATAAAATATTAAAGTAGAACCAGCAGCAGAAAGAAGAGTAAAATGAAAAACTAAGCTTTGGTCCTCAAGAAAAAAAAAACATTGTTTGGCTAATATGGCCAACCAGGATTTCCCAGCTGGTGCTGGCACAGACTCGCCCTTTTTCTCGTAAAAACACAACCCTGCAGAAACACCTTTTCTTGTTCTCTTACTTCTCTTGCTTACTTGCTGCTGACTTTTCAGTCCCGGAACCCCCTCGGGGTAATAAATCCCCTTTGTGCTGAGAATTTGGTCTGGGCAAATCCTGTGTGGACTGCCACGGGGCCCACCTCCCTAACATCCATGATCCTCTCAAGGTGTAGATCCCTCCCTGAGGACAAATCCAGAGTCCTCCCAACCGTGGGAGCACAGAGGGCAGACATGGTGCATGCATACAGTAGAGTAGGGTTCAGGACCCACAGAGCCTTGGTGGGGAGACCAAGGAAAACCACAGCTCATCCTGCCAGGGACTCACACCTCAGCCGCACTCCCTGGGCCCAAACACAATCACCATTGCCCACTTGGGGCAGGTAGCTCCTCTCCCTCAAGGAAGATTACTTACAGCTGTTGGGTAGTATTCCTGTCTGACCAGGTGCATCCCACCTGCCTTACTAAAGCCTCTCTCTACTGGTTATGAGGCCAAGGTAGTTGGTTTCAATGTGAACTGCAGTTGTTTATCAAAGAAAATTGGGCATGGTGAGCTGCTGTTTTTGTGTCCATTCTCAGAGGGGAGGTTTAACACAGAGCCAAGAGTCCTTAGATGGACGCACTCCTTGCAAAGTGGGGTGGTGTAGGAGATGCTGCTGGTTGACCGGTGACAGGTTCTCATCTTTTCCTTGGGAAACCTTTTGCCCCTCCTCTCACACCTCAGCGTGTGGTGACCTAAAGAAAGTTATAACAGAGATTTTTGAGGAATGTTTCAGAAAGATGCTTTCTGAAGATTTTCTTGACCTGGTCAGATCCAACGCCCCAACTCAATGCTAAAATGGGAACATTTTAAACCAGGATTGTTTTCATGGTAGGCATTGCGTGCTCTCAACTGGTCACATCCAGGCCATAACAAGAATTTTTTTGTCCATAGCCAGGGCCTCTGTCTATTATGTCCCACCAGCCTAGGTCATTCTTTGAGCTTCAACCAACATTCTTGGAAGTTTCTGGGAACCAATTCTTACAGGATTCCTGCTCTTTCTCAATGATCCCCACACTTAATGTTGACTTCTACTGATATTCCTGACATGAGTCCACCCCACCTCCAACTTCTCAGCTTAGCAGATGTAAACAGTTTTTTGATTTTTATTCTTTTACACCTATTTGTTAGGGGGCAGGGGAAGGGAGAGTGGCAGTGTTCCCGTGCTGAAATCTGGACAAATGCAGAAGTTGGTTCTGTTCTTCTCCCATGTGGGTCCCAAGGATCAAATTCAGGTAGTCAGGCTTGGTGGCAAGTACTTTTACCTGCTGAGTTCTCTCACTGGTCCTAGGTCACTGCTCTTGAAGTGGCACTTTCTCTAAGATTTAAAATTCCTAATCTCACTGGGAGGGAGGAACCTGGAACTAGCTTATTGGGAGATTTTAGGGGTCTGGTTTCCAAACAGGAACCCAGGAGTCTGAAACTGGTAGGAACAACCTACCTGTTATCTCGGCACTTTGAGGTGGAGTAAGATTGAGAACACAAGGCCATCCTGGTCTACCTAGGCAGGCCCAAACCATTGAGGACTAAGTAATGAGGTCCTATCTTTAAGTAAGGAAATAACAGAAAAGCACCTCAATCTGACTGAATTAATTTCCATTTGGTTGGGTTCCTGCCTGTCCTTGTGGGGGACTGCAAATGTCTCATCTGTGATGTTCCTCACACTGCTTGCTCAACTGCCCCCCTCTTCCTGGTCCCCTCCTTAGAGCAGGATTCTCGTGTCTACAGTAACTGCTCCTAGATTAACATCTGCTGGCATGAGGGAAGACCTGAATGAACAATATCAGCATCAGGCAAAAGGTTGTCTCATTGTAGGTAGCTTGCAGGCATCTGATTGTATGCTTTCCCAAGGCAGGTGTTTAAATGAGGAACAGCAGAGACTACAATCTATTCTGATATTTCCATTTCTCAAGTAAGACTTTGTTCTTCTCTGCTTTTCCTGATGCCTGACAAATTCCAGTTTGACATTTTACCTTCAGGACTATCTTTCCATTTGTTTTTTAAGATTTATTTATTTATTACATATACAGTGTTCTGCCTACATGTCAGAAGAGGACACCAGATTGATTTGTAGACGGTTGTGAGCCACCACGTGGTTGCTGGGAATTGAACTCAGGACCCCTGGAAGAGCAATCAGTGCTCTTAACCTCTGAGCCATCTCTCCAGCCCCCCCTTTTTCCATTTTAAGCAGCTTTGGGGGTAGAGTTGGTGCTGGGCAATTTACAAATATGTATAAAGTTATTGACTGTCAAGCAGGGCTGGTCTCCAGTAAATAAAGAAGCAGTCCTCAAAGGAAGACCAGAACATCCAGAATATACTGCTGACCCTTGGCACACAGACTGTCACTGACTTGAACTTTTCATCAGGTAGGTAGGTGATCAGAGGAATTGGGACACAAGGCTTCCAGTACTGAGTTATGAGATAGCTAGCCTAGGAGCTCTCAGCAGCAAATGTCTTAAACAAAGTGGATATAGCATCACAGCCCACACACCTGGAGACAGAAATGACAGAGGGTACTTCATTGTCTCATGATGGCATTGGAATCTCTGCCCCTCTTGAGGACCTGGGTTCCCACCATTCACAGATGTCTGCACCAGTGGATCTAATACCCCCTGTATCAGAAATACAGACTTAGTGTCTCATGATGTCAATGAATCTGCTGCCGTTCCCAACATGAGCCTCACACACTTGTGTCAGTTCCTTTAAGCCTCATAGCTCCTGACAAAGTCCAGAAGAAAAGCAACAGACCTCTCATTTGCACTTCTAGACAACAACTACATGCTGAGTGCATTTCCCTCCTATTGGTGTGTAGATCTGATGATACATCTCATCCAACTACTACTAAGGGGAAACCCTAGGATTAACTAATCAAATAACATATTTGTAGTTGTGCATGAGTCTGCCCCTCCAAAGCTAGGACAGGGAGGATTGGAACAAAAATCACTTTTTTGCTGGAATGGAGGAATGGGCAGTTTGTGGTAATTGGTGATGATACAGTCAAGCATTGGAGCAATGCACTTATCACATCATATCCCCATATCAAAAGTAGGGTGCTAATCCTTGATGGTGGAGAGACGGCTCCCCAGTCAAGAACACTGGTTGCTCTTCCAGGGGACCTGGGTTCCCAACATTCACATGGTGGTTCACAGCTGTCTGCACCAAAGAATGTAATGCCTTCTGTGCACAGACATACTTGAAAGTAACCATCCATACACATAGAAAAGAATTCTTTTTAAAAAGATCAATTTAAGGGGCTGGAGAGATGGCTTAGCAGTTAAGAGCATGGGCTGTTCTTCCAGAGAGCCTGGTGTTCAATTTCCAGCACCCACAAGGCAGTCTTAGACTCCAGTTCCAGAGGATATAACACACTCACATAGACATACAGGCAGGCAAAACACCAATACAAATAAATAAAAATAATTTATTTTTGAAAATGACCAATGTAAAAAATAGAAGCACTACTCCTTACACACATTAAAATACAACTAATTCCCAGGGAAACCCATCATAGAAGCAAGCTAGTCCCCATCCTGTATTGCCAGCTGAGATTCAGCAAATATGGGCACAATGACCATAACTGCACATGACTCCACAGCACCTAATAGTGCAGGTTTTAAGACAGTTGAGGTACTAGGCTCAACTTTTCTCCACAGGGCTGGGAAAGAGCCGTAAACACCCAATGTTGGAAATCAGAAATTATCTACAAAATAGAAAATGCTCATTGCTTCCCAATCTTATTTATGAAGCATCTGCACTAACACTTGGTTCTTTCTTTTTCTTGTTTTTTTGTGACAATGTGGCCTGGCTGTCCTGGAACTCACCATGTAGACTGGGTTGGCCTTAAACTCACAGATACCTGCCTGTCTTTGTCTCTCAAGTACTGAGATTAAAGGCTTGCATGAAGCCCAGCTAACAATTGGTTTTGTCAAGTCTTCATTACTCTGCTCTACTGTGTTCCATTAACTTTCACTGTTCTTACCACTATTACTGTAGAGGAGGCTATGTGGAAAGAATAGGTTTAAACAGAGACCCCAGATGAAGATGTAACTCTCCCTTTAATTAGTTATGTGACTCTTTAGACAATGCCTTTCTGCCACTCCTTACCACTCTCACAAGTAGATGATGGTTCCCGACTTGGTTGTCCAAGTAAACGTCATGGGTAAAGTGCAGAACATATTACTTAGGATTTTTATAAAATCTTTCCTCATAGTAACTCAAAGGGTCAGCGAATATTTATTGCCAAACAAACTGGCACCTTAAGGAGTCAAAGATGAAGTTCAATCTTCATTCCTGGTAACAGAGGGAAGCAAATATCAAAAAGTACTGCAAAACAGGAGAAATGCTACCCCAGAAATCTGATAGTGCTCCAGCCCCACAGAAACAGAGCACCTACTTCAGGTGGAGAAGCCAACTGACATCCTATTTGACTTGATCTCAAAGAAGAATACACCTGAGCCTGAGGGGAAGGGAACAATGGGCCAGGGTGTCAGGCTGTTGGAAGAGAAGTTTCAGAAGAGAGGCCTAGGAAAGCAGCCCATGTGATAGAACCACATGCAGGCAGGACTGAGGAAGGGAATGGAGATTAGGACAGAGGCTGGAAAGGCGTGGAATGGATCCATGCAGGGCTGATACACTGGCAAAGTCTTTCTTCCCCTAGATCTAGTAGTAAATATCTTTCTTCCATCATATGTGATTTTGTACATAAGACATGAACCAAAATGAGTATTGGAACATTGTAAAAGATAGGGTTTATGATAGCTTGTAAACATCTTTTCAAGATAAGAGTTTATTAAACAAAGCAAAATTGTTATTTTACTTACTTAAGAACATTGGCACAGATGTATAATCCCAGTTATTTGGGAGGCTGAGACAGGATTTAAGTTCAGGGTTGCCTGAGCAACTTACAGAATGACTCAAGACTAGCCAGAACTTGGATAGGTATGAGGAGCACTGGGATCGTATCTGCTAGAGTAACTGAGAGTCAGGGGATTTGGATACTTGCTGAATTGCTTTTGTCTCAGATAAATGCTGTAATCACGTTAATGATGATCTTTCATCCTTGAATCATTGAGTTTGTTTTCAATATTGCCTACAGTTAAGCTATTGTGCAGTTATAGAGTAAAAGGGGTAGCCTTTTTTCAGTTAAGTGGCATTCATCCTGACTCCCCTTCAGATTTTCTTAGTCTCTTGTTTCCCTTAGCTGTCACCACGCTTCTTCTTTGGGACCTGATGCCCTCTGGAGATCCTGGAGTTGGACTGTGGCAAAAAGACAAGGACTTCAAAATAGCAGTTATGAATACGTTCAAGAACCTTTAAAAAATGACATGAACTTAGGGCTTTGTTGGCTAATGCCTTTAATCCCAGCACTCGGGAGGCTGAGGCAGGCGGTTCTTTGTGAGTTCCAGGCCAGCTTGGTCTACAAGAGCTAGTTACAGGACAGCCTCCAAATCCACAGAGAAATCTTGTCTCCAAAAACAAAACAACAGGAACAACAAAAAACGGACATGAACAAATGCCTTAGTAAAAACACAAGCAGTTGGATGAAAGTATGAAGGCATTTCAAGGTATGAAAAAATATATAGAATAACTAAAGAAAACACAAACTGAACTAAAACTGTAGGTAAAAAACTTAGGGTGTCGAATAAAAACCTAAAGTTAAACTTCATTAGCACATTATAAGTGAAGAATTTGAGGACAAGATTGGCTGAATAGCTCAGGCAATGAAAATTTAAATAAAATAAATAAATAAAATACACACATACATAAAAATTAAATCCAGTTGTAAAACATCCAGAAAAGCTGATCAATGGCACAGAAAAAAATTGTATTTTGAGACAGGGTTTTTCTGTGTAGTTCTGGCTGTTTTGAAACTCCCTTTTTAGACTAGGCTGGCTTCCTACTTGCAGATTTCTGCCTCCCTCTGCCTCCAGAGTGCTGGGATTAAAGGTGTGAGCCACCACCACCCAGGCAAAAAATATCTTTAAGAAAATCTCAGAAGGAAATTTTCCCAATCTAAAGAAAGAGGTGCCTGTCCAAGTACAAGAAGCACACAGAACAACAAATAGTCAGGACCAGAAAAGAAATTCCCCAAGGCATGTTATATTCAAAACACTAACTATATAGAACAAAAAAACAAAACAACATTAGAAGTTGCAAGGGAAAAACATACATATTATAATAAGGTAAGTCTTATAAAGTCTTACAAAGCCTAAAACTTTATAATGGCATGCATAGTAGAATAACATCTGACTTCTCAATAGACACCTTGAAAGTCAGTAGAGCCTGGACAAAAGTTTACAACTCAGGGAGACTTCAGTTGCCAGCCCAGACAGCTGTTGTAGGAAAAAGAAGAAGGAGAAATGTACACCTTACCCAGTAGGGTCAGGCTGGAGTCTTGACAGGTGTGTAAGGCCTCATTCTTCTGAGACAGGAGGCAGGCTGGTCAACTTTGGTATCTTCTGAAACTTAACAGGCAAGGTCCTTTTGGGGTCAAAATGTAAGAAGGAGGATTATCTTGAGCAGTGGTATAAGAGATTTGAGAGGGGAGAGATGAATCCAGTGAGGGAAACCCTTGAGCTTAGCAGTGTTTGGGGTAGTCAGCATTACCCTGAAGGGTCCTGTGGTAGTGGGTGACCACCATTCCCCACTTTCCTCAGTAGACATGTCATCTAGACAGAAACCAGAGGAATGCTGAGGTTGAGTAATATTATAAGTCAAATGAACCTGGCAGACATCTACAGAACATGCCAGCTAAACACATTTTTTTTAGCAACTCATGGCACATGCTCCAAAATTGCTCACATACTAGGACACAAAGCAAGTACAAATAGATAGAAGAAAACTGAAAACCTCTCTGCCTCCTACCTGATCACCATGGATTAAAGCTGGATGTCAAGAGCAGCAGAAAGTATATAAACTGATGGAAACTGAATAACTCACTGGTGAGTGAAAAATTGGGAAATAAATTAAATCCTTTTAAAATTGAATGGAAATAATAGCACAACACACCCACACCTATTGGACACAAGGAAGACAGTTCTAAGAGGCAACTTCATAGCACTAAATGACTACATCAAAAGACTGGGGATATCTCACAAGTGTTGTTCTGAAAGCTCTAGAGAATGACAAGAAGTAATAGCACCCCAACAGAGTAAATGGCAAGAAATAATGAAACTCCAGGATGAAATCAATGTAATAGACACAAACATATAAACACAGTTTAAAGAATCAATGAAACGAGTTAGTCCTTTGAGAAAATCAACACAATTGACAACCTTTTAGCCCAATTTAGTAACATACAAGGAGAAGATCCATATTAACAATAGTATAGACGGGCGTTGGTGGCACACGCCTTTAATCCCAGCACTCGGGAGGCAGAGGCAGGCAGATCTCTGTGAGTTCGAGACCAGCCTGGACTACCAAGCGAGTTCCAGGACAGTCTCCAAAGCCACAGAGAAACCCTGTCTCGAAAAAACACCAAACCCCCCCCCACAAAAAAAAAAAAAACAATAGTAGAGATGAAAAGGTGACATTATAGTGGATACTGAGGAAATTCAGATATCATATGATATACTTTTGGAAATTTATATTTTATCAAATTGGAACACTTACAAAAAATGAAAGAATTTTTGGATATGTATAACCTGTCAAAGTACAGATCATTTGAATATGCCCATAGCCTCTAGTAAAATAGAAGTCCTCTATCAAATCAAAACGAAAAAACAAAAAAACAAAAAACAAAATACCAAACCAAAGCCAGATAGATTCCATGCAGAATTCTACCAGAACTTGAAAGAGGAAAGAACAATGCTCCTGAAATTATCTTATAAAATAGTAACTGAAGGACTATACCCTAATTCTTTTATCAAAGCTATTGTTATCCTGATACCAAAACCCAGTAAAAAGTATGGACCAATATTATATACAGCCATAGATACAAAAATTCTCAATAAAATACTTGCAAACAGAATCCAAGAACTTGGCAAAAAGATTATCTACTCTAGTGGTTTGAAAGTACATGGTTCCCAAAGCCAGTGACACTCTTCTTTGGAGAGTGTCCCTGTTGAAGTAGGTTTCACTTTGTTGGATGAAGTGTGTCATTGTAGGAGTGGGTTTTGAGGTATTTGCTCAACCTTTGCACACTGTGATACAAATCCTATTTGCTGTTGCATTCAAGATGTAGGACTCTTAGCTACATCTCCAGCAGCATGTCTGCGTGCATACCACCATGTCCCAACATGATGATAATGAACTGAAACTCTGAACTGTAAGTGAGCTGCCCCATCAAATGTCTTCCTCTATAAGAGTTGCTCTGGTCCTGGTGTCACTTGGCATCAACAGAAACCCCAACTAACAACTACCATCATCAAAAAGTCTTCATCCCAGAGATGTTTTGGCTTTTCCAACATGCGTTATTGACTGTTTTGTGGTGCTGGAGATGATGAAATCCAGAGAATAACACATACCAAGTCAGCTGCCCTGGGTGGTCACTCCATCTTTAATCTGGTATGCCTGGCATCTCTGGAGGATTGAGATCTTGGCTAATTCCTCTTTTCAACTTTAAATAACCAGATGGAACCTGTTCCTTTCCTTCAGAAATAACTCGAATGAAGAGCCCAGTTGCCTTAATTTCTCCCTCAGTGCTCAATATCGGAATGCTTGGTACAAACAGGTCAGCGGCACTGGAGTCGTTCGTGGTTTTTCCCACAAACGGGAATTTACTACAAGACTTCACTGCTTGCGGTCTGAACCTGAGATTTTCACAATCTCCCCAATAGAGAATCCCAGATAGGAACTGAACGTTCCGTTTTAGGGTGCAATTTAGCAAGCATTTTAGCAGTACCGAGACAGCTCAACGGGAATGGAGTAGTTATTTTGGAATGTTAACTCCCTGTGGAGGTAGTCAGAAAGGATTTGTACTGTCTAACACAGACTGCTGGGACCAGAATATCTATGTATTCATAACTTTCCACGCACAGGCACAAGAGTCAACATTTTGAGGAACTGTTCCCTTATCTCCCAAAGATATAAATGAACTATCCCGCTACAATGTCCTGATCAAGTTCTCTGTGCCCAAGAGCCCCACCTCCGCAGAATCTCTGTAGTTTTTAGAAGCCAGCAGAAGACAACCCGAGAGGCAATTCGGGGGCTTTGGGGATGAAACTTTCCCGGGACAACCAGAGAAAGTTTGTAAGGTCCTTGGCGGCTGCTCACGCACAGGTTTTCTAACCTTGGAGAGTTACTGGATCAACAGCGGGGACAGGGCGTTGAAATGAAGACCCCGCAGACCGAGCTCTTGGACCAGCCTTCGTGGAACCTTGGCCCAAGGGTCCTGGCAGCCTGGCGGTACAGCCGTTTGAGTTTAGAGTAGTGCAGTGGCTTGTGACGTTCTAGCAGCTGTGCCTGACGCGTCACACGTCGCGCTCTATCGAAGGCTGCTTTGTTCGTGTCTCCTGTGGTTGTTGCCCCAGCATGGCCACCAGCTAGGAACCCGGAGCTCTGAGGGTCGGTCGGTCCCTCGTGAACAGGATCAACAAAGTCTTCACCAAGAGGGGCGGAAGAACAAGCGACTGGGTATGTGGAGGCTGATGCTCTGCTTTGGCCTCAGCGGTTACGGGCTCCGAGGTCGCAGGCCACTTCCCAGTCACAGATATTCCGTGTCACCCTAGCTCCTGGTTGCGGAGAGGCGAGGGGCTGTTTCAGAAGTCAGGATGAGGACCATCGCAGCCTCCGGGTCAGAGGACACTAGGCATCTGCTCAGAGAAACTTTCAACTTGAAACACCAGGAGTTTTATAACTTTTTACAGCGTTAAGTAAAACATAGTTAAAACAAAACAAATTTTCTCAATTGGCAATTATATCCATCCTTATTTTGACGGGTCGACTGGGTTATCAGGTGGTTAGTTACAATGTAGACGCTTACGTCAGTTGTCTAGAAGGTGCTGGTAATAAAGACAATGTCGCGTCTTCGATCCCTGTACCGGACAGATTTTGTTTCCTTTCAGAACAAAATCCTCAATTTATATCTACTTGAAGCGCACTTTTCATCTACTGGACTCTATTTAAGGGATACCACCTTAAAATAGAACGCAGCTTGAACTGCTCACTTCCACAACGAGAGGACAACTTGCAGCCTGAGCAAGTGTCTTGTCTATTGTGCAAGAAACATGGGTCCATCAACATTTACATTCTTTTCCTTATTCAGTCTTAGAACAGTGTGAAGCTCATAGTTCTTTTCTGAAAAGTTTAAAAATTAAACGAGCTAACAAAACAAAACTCTCCAAAGTTTTGGGTTATTCCTATCCCTGTAGGTCTAGTAGGATCTTTCTATTCAACTTGGCCGGTTAGCTCAGTTGGTTAGAGCGTGGTGCTAATAACGCCAAGGTCGCGGGTTCGATCCCCGTACGGGCCAGACGGGAAAGTTTTATTTTTCATAATCGGAAGCGAATGTGCTGCAAACAAAAAATAACCACGAAGCAGGAACTATTCTACTCTGTGTAGCGATCTTTATTGACCGAAGTTCCCTACTGTGTTTTGTTTCTGTGGTTTTAGCGTCCTGAAAGCACAGGTGGAGGCAGTCGAGTTCTAGCAGGAATCCATTCTGGAAGCAGAGGGCAACAACGGAAAACCTGAGCCTTTCTTTCTACCACCAGCATTCATTCTCCTCATCCTCACACAGCTGGAGCCTACAGGTTGCTGTCCTTGTTCCCCTGTCTTGAGGCCTCCGAGTTGGTACTCAATTCCCAGACCCTGCTGAAAGACCCCCAGATTGGGGAGACCCTCACTCAAGTCTCGGGATAAGACCATGCCCCAATGATTCAAGAGAGACCGTTCTTGCTGCAAGCACAGGAGGTTTATTCGGGCAACCAGTACACTGGGGACCAGCTCATGACCCTCGAAGGGGCAGAGGAGTTCGATCCCTAGTAGCTGCCGTTGAGGGTTTTTAAAAGGGAAAAACTGAATCGGGGAGTTAGGCAAACATCATAAAGGATGTTAAGTTAAATGATAGCTTATGTCTTAACAGGAAGGTTATCTCAAGCAAGCATTCTTTAGCAATTGTACAGTTAAACATTGAGCAGGGATGTGGTGAGCTAGTTCCTGGATAAGGGAGGGTTATCTTTTAGGTTTATCTTGAGGTCTCTGGTTCTCAGGAGAGAGCAGAAGGGCAAGTCACTCTGTGATGGGCTGGCTAGTTAGTCACTAGGGGCCTAAAAATGTTGAGTTGAGATCTCTCACTGCTAGTTAGAGTGAGTCTTCCACTGATGGGCCAAGCAAGACTTGCCTGCTACTTCATTCTTCCAGGAAAAAACAACAACAAAAACAAACAAACAAACAAAAAAACCAGTTCAAGATATCATTTCAGATTCTGGAACAAAGAAAGTTTATCCGGGATCTGGACGGCCCACAGGGAATGTCCCGGATTAGGTAGTCCACGCAATACATACAGGTCCCAGAGGGTACACTGAGAATGTCCATTCGCTGCGGCAGAGGTGTCCTTGATGGGTTCAATGGTTGTTTTTAAGACTTGGAATGTCAGGAGGAGCAATCCCAGTTAGAATTTCTGGCAGAAGGCAGGGCAGAGTGTAAGCATTCCACACTATCTTCTGAAGGTAGAGACAAAAAGTGTTACTGTAGGGGAAACTCCAAGGTGTAAAACACATGGGGTGGGGGAGGGGGAGGAGGACGAGCGTGGTTACTCCAGAGACACCTCCGAGAATGTTGTAGATGATGGAGAGTTTTTGATAGAACCAGGGCAGGTGGCTCAAATGGTCAGAGCAATGTCATTCTCTCGGTTTTTCACAGAGCTTAGAAATGGGAAACTGAGAGTAGTGGGGAGGAAGCTACGCCCCACTCCGGGCAAGTGGAGGTTTGTCCACCCGATGGTGCAGGTGGCTGTGCAGGGCGGTGCAAAGCTGTCTTCCTGGGAGGCCCAGAAGAACCCTGGCAAAAGACTCCAGAGAACTTAAAGCAAAGAGCAGGATCTGGTTTAAGGGCAAAGCACTATACCTGGTTGGTTGCTCAGATAGAGGCCGTGACTCAAGTATTTGTTAGGTGCTGAGAACACTGGGTACTCAAGGGAGCCCGGAAGTTCATATTGTGAGTATGAGAGCAACGGTTAGGGTGAACTAATCCAATGTGCACTTTCTAAGAAAGAGACTGGAGGTCTAAAAGAAGAACTGGAGAATGTGGGCATCGATCCCACTACCTCTCGCATGCTAAGCGAGCGCTCTACCATTTGAGCTAATTCCCCGACTACTGCGGTTTGTCTTTTCTTTTTTCTTTCTTTTGTGTCCAGTCAATCCTCACAGAGTTACTTGCTGCATCTATGGCCCAGGAAAGCATGGCAGTCAAGTAAAAAATGGCAGAGGCAAGACTCTTTTGTCTCAAGAGCTGAAAACTGTAGGGAGTAAGCTGAGAATCTGAAAACAGAAAAATGACAAGAAAGAAATCCCTGTTTCCGCCCGGTTTCGAACCGGGGACCTCTCGCGTGTTAGGCGAGCGTGATAACCACTACACTACGGAAACCCTCGATGGTACCAGCTTTCTTAGTTTCAAGGCAATATATTCGAAATTTGCTGAGTAGATGGTTCGATGGTGGTATTGGGTGAATATGCTTGTAACATGGGCTCGCTAAATCAAAGTAACTAAGGGCCGGGCGTTGGTGGCGCACGCCTTTAATCCCAGCACTCGGGAGGCAGAGGCAGGCGGCTGTCCACTTCATCCCCAGTCCTTGGTGACGCTGCTCTACTCTTCTAGTGCCAGATGAACGCTCAGATTCCACAGTGTAAGTGAAGTCCTGTGGAATCTGTCCCTCGGGGGCTGGTTCAACTCAACACAATGTCCTCAGCTTCTTTGGTTTCGAGTGACAAAATCGCTTCATAATATTAATGCTCCCGTGAATAATCCTTCAGGTAATTATCCTTTTGTATATATGAAGGGGTTAGCATCTCAGAAGACAGGGACCCTTTCCTATGAACAAGCAAATTTCTGAGAAATCGATTCCACTGCAGTGGCCACGTGACCAATAGGGGGATGGCTCTGTGGCTCTGTTTTCAATTGCTATCGGGATTGTCATTGCTAGAGTATCTAAATTTGAATCTCAGCACCCACAAGGCACCTCATCAGCATTTTAAACTGCAGTATTGGGGCATCTGCCGCCCTCTTTTGGATACATGGGGCACTACATGCAAATATCCATACACCCAACAAATAATTACACTCCTGCCTGTGGATTCGATTCCATCAGCCTACCGTTTGGGTCAGCCAATGACACACAGAAGCCCGTTTTCCTAGGGACTCCCAGTGGTCACACTGGGGTGAAACACAGAATCACCTACTCCCTACTCCATCCTTTGCCTCTTGGGGGGGATCCAGTGTGCCCTTAGCTCCTTTCCACTGCCCTCTGAGCTTTTCCTCATACATAGCCCATGGCCCTAACATTGTGTCACCTGCCCACCTGCAGAAGCCCTCTCCACTAGGAAACACACAGCTACCACACTTGTCTGGGACCCAGAGTGTTCAACAACAACCAAAGAACAGAATACCCACTCAACAGGGACCAGATCAGATATCTACCCCAAGAAACACCACAACTGTCATAACTCCATTGTCTCCATGGACAGGCAGGACATGTTTCCTGGAGAAGCCAGTAACCCTATTGCAATAGGCTTTAGAAGTGCAGTAAAGCTGCAGCATATGATCAGAACTTCAAAATAGCACTTATGAATATGTTAAGGACCTTGAAAAGGATCTGAGCAAATGCCTTACCAAACACTGTGGAAACACAAACAGTTGAATTAGCACGACAGTTTGAATGAAAATGGCTCCTAAAAGCACTAGGACATGTGGCCTCGTTGGAGCAGATGTGGTCTTACTGGAGGAAGAGCACTGCTGGGGGTGGGCTTGGAGCTTTCAGAAGCTCAGTCCAGGCACAGTGGCTCATTCTCTGCTCCTGCAGCCTGTGGATCTAGAAGCAGATCTCTCAGCTCCTTCCCTAGCACATGTGTGCCTGTGTGCTGCCACGCCCCCTGCCCTGCTGATAATGCACTGGACCTCTGGAACTGTGAGCAAGCCCCGATTAAGAGTTGCCGTGGTCACGGTGTCTCTCACAGCAAAAGAATCCACAAGACAGTAAAATGAGGTAAATATTTCGAGAAATGAAAGTGGAAATAGAGTCACTAAAGAAAACCCCAACTGAACTAAAACGAGAAATAAAAAAACTTAAGATTTCAAACAAAAACTTAGAGGTAAACCTCATCAACAGATTACAAGATATTCAAGAGAAAAATTTGAAGATATGGTAGATTAAAAAGATAGGTCAAAGAAAATGCTAAATCTAAAAAAAAGAAAAAAGAAAGAAAGATCTAGTCACAAAACATCCAGGAAATCTGATCAAAGGCACAGAAAATATTTTTTATTTATTCTTCTCTCTCATATTACATCCCAAGTGTAGTTTCCCCTCCCCCCTCTCCTCCCAGTCACCATCCGCCAACCACCCTCCCCACCAGATCCTCTCCTCCTCTGTTTCCATTCAGAAAAGGACAGGCCTCCCAAGAAATCAACCAAACATGTCTTATCATGTTGCAATAAGATTAGGTATCTCCCCTCATATTAAAGTCAAATGAGGCAACCCAATAGGAGGAGCACAGTCCCACAAGCAGGCAAAAGAGTCAGAGACAGCCCTGTTCTCACTGTTAGGAGTCCCACAAGAGCACCAATGTATACAATTACAGCATACATGGGGAGGACCTAGGTCAGACTCATACAGGGTCCCTGACATCTCTGTGAGTCCCTATGAGGCCTGGTTAGTTGAGTCTGTAGGCCATTTCCTTTTGATGTCATTGACTCCTACAAGCCTTCATCTCCATCTTCCAGAGGTTCCCGGAGCTCCAAATAATGTCTGGGATCACCACATTTGCGCCCAACAGTTGCTGAATAAACCATCTCTGATGGTGATTATACTAGGCTCCAGTCTATGAGTATACTAGAATATCCTTAGAAATAGTTTAATTGACACACCACCCCCTTTGTGTTTGGTTCTATCCCAAGTCTCTCAACTATTCCTGCTCTGGTCCCTAGCCCTCCATGCAGTCTGTGGTGTGGGCTTCCTCTCGTGAAACACATCTCAAGCTGGGCAGTCATTGGCTGGCCTCTCCCACAAGTTCTCCACCACCTTTACCCAGCATATCTCGCAGACAGGACAAATTGAAGGTTGTGTCCCAATTCCTCTACTAGAATGCTCGTCTGGTTACAGAAGATAGCCTGTTTAGGCTCAG